GAAGGGTATGCATCCAAATATAATACCACTTGTGCGTGCCTAGTAAAAGTATCAAAAAAAAAAAAAATGATTTCGACTATTTCGACCATTTTGGATATCCGAAATGATCCATTTCGACTTCATGAGGCCAATTTGGCCTTATGAAGGAGGGAATCTTTTTCTGATAATACCTTTTCTAGACGAGTATTGGCATTTTGAAGGCAGTAATCTTTTTCTGATAATACTTTTTGCAACACCTCAAATATATCTTCCTTAGCAAGTTTTTTTTCGAGTTCTATTACTTTATCTTCGAACCTAAGTCCACAGACAATACTTCTTAAATTATCATGAATCCAATCTGGTAGCTTTGGCATTTCTACTGGCTCTTCTATCACTCCTCCCATTACATTCAAACCATGATATGTATGCTCTAGATCTATGTTCTATAACTTATTTTCCAATTCACATATTTTAGTTTCAAGAGAAAGAATCTGAATCTTGTCAGCAAACAAAGCTTTCTGGGCCAAAGTTGCCTCTCTCTTTAGTGTTTTAATATTGGATTTGAGTGATTTGATTTCAGCAGAATATTTTGCTTCAAGCTTACTATTAACTGTATTCAGCTGACTAAACTTATTGTTAAAACCTGAACAGATACGATTAAAATCCTTTACTCACTCTAAATATATATCCTGCAGGTCTTTATAATCATTATTAATATCAGAAGCAGTTTTGATGCTACCACGTAATGCTTTCTTAAGTTCTGATTCACAGATGTTACCAAGCCGATGACCTGAGGGAATGTCTTTACTTAGTGAATCCTCAACCACCTCTCTATTCTCAATATCTCTTAAAGTATGTACATTGAGCATATTTTTTGGTTTAGTCATTAGTATAGTAAAAAATTTATAAGCAAAATTTCGAAACCACATGATCCTAAAAGCACTTTATTTTTATGGATACTAGCATATTACTGATACTACCGATACTATAATATTACCAATACTAGCATAATACTGATACTACTATTAATACTACTAATACTATCGATATTATAATATTACTGATATTACTGATATTAGCATAGTACTGATACTATTGTATTACTAATACTAGCATAGTATCAATATTTTTTATATTTTTTTATTTATAGTGAAAAAAATCTCTACCAATTAGCTACTAATATGATCCTATCTCAGCTTAAAACACATATTAGTTCTAGGGCTAGTTACTTGTTCCTTGCAGATTACAAAGACATCATGCAATATCGTGATATGAAGTCCAAACTTTTAGCTTAGCTAAGTAAAAAATATAATACATCGAATAGTCGCTTATATCAAATTTAAAGAAGACAAGAGTTTAATAGGATTCAATGGAATGATTTAGCAGTTACTCCAAGTATAAAAGTTATAGATAAACAGAATGAGGAGCGTCAAGCTGAAAGAGATTTTTAAAATAAATTTAATACAGCCTTTACAGTATTAGAAAACAAGATATGCGATGCTAAAATTAGCAAATCTACTGATCAAGTTTTTGAAGAAAGTGCAGGTAATAAGGCAAAAAAGACCAGAGGTAAGAAACGATCCCAAGGGAATCAAGTAACACCTGGAATAAAAAAAGAAATTATTTCGCCTACTGAATCCTCTGAAAATGTTTTAGATTTGTATAAGAGAACTGATAATACTTTAGAAGAAATTAAAGCAAGAAGTCATCCTCTTATTTTCAAATAGTTATGCATTCTATTCAATCTGACTGCGCAAACTATTATAGTATCCTATGACTTCCAAATTTGATTGAATGTTAGAAAATAATGCCTTTTTGAGCTCTTTATATGAATTGCCATATCCTTATAGTTCATGCAGTTTACGCACTTTTTTTAAGTCTTCCTCACTAGTCAGATTAGAAGAATTAGCTAAAACCCGAGAGTCAAGAAGTGCCTCGCATGATGATTCCTGATTCTCTTTTGGTGGATCCTTGACTACTGGAGCTTTGCTAAAGGTTGGGATAATATATGCCTTTCTATGTAACTTTATGTAGAACTGGTTTTTATTTGACTCAGGGACGCCTTGAACTTTTGAATATTTGACATACCAAAAAATAGCATTGGTTCTGTTTCACCATTATCAATACGAACAAAATTTTCAATAACTGTGACCATCTTATCTTCTTTATCTTTTAAGGTAACTGGCATGTCTGTATACCATCCTAGTGAATCAGTGATATGCTTGGAATTGCCCTTTATGGCAAAATTAGATGGTTTATCAGCCTTCCATTCAAGCGCCTTTATTGCTGGGTCATTTATACCACCAAATTCACTGCTGGAATCTAAAAAAGATTCGAAAATAGTTAAGTCATTTATATTAGCATTCAGGTATTGTAAAGATGACAACTACTCATCTGATTCTTTCGATTCCTTCTCTTGAGTCTTTTGAGATAAGCACATTTTTGTATTGGTGGTGATAGCTTAGACAATAGCTGATCGTACATTTCAGGTTGGCTAGATTCTAGGGGTGAGATTGCATTAGTATCACCGGCTAACTTATCATTTACTGGTACATGTTTTTTTTCAAGTGCATAATACCAATCATTATCGGCTTTGTCATAACCATCCCCATCATTTTCCTCACCATCTAAATCGGGAGGAACTATTGGTTTAAGAGGCGTAAAATAAGATTGAGTGAAATTAGATTGAGCTACTAGTCTTTTTGGACAACTTCCTTTGTTATGGCCCACTTCCCTACAAATATCGCATTTACGTATATTTAGTTTCTGAAATATATCAGCTAACTGATTTACATTATTCTGAGTTTCTTTAAATCCTACTTCAATCCTATCAAATCTAGTGGAATTATTGTTTCGTTGAGGACAGTGTCTTTGAAAAGGCTTTACAGGATAATCTGAGTCTAAATCTTCCTTATTAAGTAGACCTACTTCTTTAAGTATTTGACTACATAATAATTCTTAAGACTTTCTTCTGTTTTCAATGTAGATGGTAGACCTTTTGGCTGTCTAATCAGTTCAACAGTTTGTGGGGTAGTTACTTGCTGAGTCATTTGCAATTGCAAATCAGATTTTTGCTTTTCTAATAAAAACTGGTATTCAGTTTTTTACTGTGTCAGTGCGTTTTGAATTGCTTTTTGCATATCTGCTAAGGAAATTCCTTGCTGTTGAGATACGTTATTGGAAATAGCAGAAGGGATTGATGTATAATTAAGATATAGTGGCAGTGGTCCTAATATCCCACTACATAATTCTATTTCATCCAAACTATTATTAATAGGCTTATGACGACCAATCGTAAAGATATCATTCAATATATCACGTCTTACTCCAGACATAAAACTTGTTTCTTTTGGTCAAGAGTACAACCCAATTAATCTCCATACTTTTAAATTTTCGCCTAAAAAGTTGTTGTTAGTGATAGTCTAGTTATGACGCATTAGTACTGCGCCAATTACAATTAGCGAATGATGATCCCGTCGATCA